GTCGGAGTTTCACCGACCCATCAGGAGGCTGAACCCTCAACAGTCTGCAGAATCCCCTAACTGATTACACTGTAAGTGATAATCCACCTTAACCCCGGCTGTGGTTAAGCATCAACGACTGCCCGACAACTGATACCCTGAGGTGGGCACCAACCACTGCCCTCAAGGTACCTGCGGCAAAAGTCAAAGCAGACTATCACTCACCCACACCAGATGGAAGACTCTACAGACTGTCGGTTCACACCCCATCACAAGCAAGCAAAACACCCACGAAACAAAGAAAGGTCTGTCACATATATATAGATATAATAGTGGTGACATGCTGCAATAGCCGGGTAACCATGTCAATACAAAAAAAAAATAAAGCCCCTGCCAACTGAATTGCCCTTTAAGATTTGCATGCATCTACACCTAAACCCAAAGCCCTGAGTTGTTGGGCCAATCAGGGGCTTCGTCTCTGCTTGCCTACCTGCTGGAGTCGCCTTGTGTGCAGTCCTTCACAAAAACCTTATATGAAGAGTCACTGTTCACCTGGAGATACAATGCCATCACAAGCATACACACTTACAAAGGTAAGCACATCATCCAACATGTAGATAGGAACTGGTAATTTCTGCAATATACTACAGGCAGATTACTGGTATCCTGTTCCAGTTAAGACACACCAGGCAGAACATGCAACCCTTGGGAAACCTCAGAGTCCGCACTCTCAAGTGGAAATTTCACTGGTGTAGAACTGAGAACACACAGTAGTCATATCATCAACACATCCCTGTCACATGCTCGACTCAGAGACTAAACGTGCCAGGAAAACCAAGGATAATCAAGCGAGAGGTCTGAAGCAAAGCAAAGCAGAACGCTACCAAACATACAGACCAGTAAAATATATGGCCAAAACAACAGAACACAATGTGGCACAGATTCCACATGCACACCAACGAGGATGGGGAATGCATAGAACAAAGCCTCCCCGCTAAATCATGCGCAGAAAAAGAGGTACAAGAAGAAGAATCGAGGACGAAGGAGAAGAAAATGGCAATGCCAAAATGATCGTCCTGGGGAGCACGGTACCTACACTGCAGAAAGAAGACTCTGACACATACACTCCACACCCCACATCTCTCCGATCGTGTCACTAGAGAAAGGAGGCTCTCTCTCTCTCTCTCTCTCTCTCTCTCTCTCTCTCTCTCTCTCTCTCTCTCTCTCTCTCTCTCTCTCTCTCTCTCNCTCTCTCTCTCTCTCTCTCTCTCTCTCTCTCTCTCTCTCTCTCTCTCTCTCTCTCTCTCTCTCTCTCTCTCTCTCTCTCTCCCGCGCGCGCGCCCCCTCGTCCTTCTCACACATACACTATACAGCCCACATCTTTAATGTGCAGGTCACTGGAGAAAGGAGGAATCTCTCTCTCTCTCTCTCTCTCTCTCTCACGCGCGCGCGCGCGCGTCCGCACTCCCAGCGCACACTATCTGCGGCTGGAGAACGAAAAACAGAACAGGAAAAGAACTTGTCCCTCGCTCTCACACACACACACGCACCACTCACATCCACACAAGCCACATAGACACACCCACAAGCACACACAGAAAACATGGTGAGCATGAGGGTGTCACAGAGCATCTACCAGCCCTCCAGCAGTTCACCTTGGACCTCGGACACAGCTCCCTAAGAAGTAAAGTAGAGCGAATAGGACAGGTGCTAGCGTGTCCAAAAAAAAACATATGGAGATCAGATTTTGCACACAGCATTGGAAGACCTTGCCAACTATTCACTCAGATCCCATGTCACCACAGGGGCAATGATCCGGATAATACGCCCCTCCTGCCCCCCGCAGATAATCTGGCCCAGATTAAAACCGACGAGTAAAAATCGAGTTCCAGTTTCACCTTCATGCGACTTGTGCCTTCTGCACACCAAAGCCGCACCCTAGTTAACAGTAAGAGTTGCTACCGTCGTCACGCGAAGAGAACGCCTGGACAGTAAAGCTGTATTGGGGCAACTTTCAGTCCAGATGCAGCTTTTATGACCGGGGCTCCATTCGGGTGAAGACCGTAGCCATTCAGGAGGAGCAATCAGCGAACCATTGGTCATTGGAAAAGAAAAGAACCAGCGGAGTTACTGACATTTGAAGTTTCATGAAATCCCCTTTACTGTCCCTTTTGTTCTAACAGGGGCTCAAGTGTTCATTTTTGAAGCGCCACCAAGCTCAATATTTTCTTTTTTTTCCCACAACAACATAATTGGATCATTTGGCCCATGTCTCAATTTCTGTCTCATCCTTGCACAAAGAACATGCCAATCTTATCTGTATCGGTCCAATTTTAACAGACTTCCCAAAGGACTGCCAAGTTCAATAGTTACATTCGTTACATTTTGTTGAAGTGGCCAAAACCTTTTCCCAACGGCCTACCAAGTTAATAGTTACAAGAAGGAACAACGCGGCTCCACTCGCATCAGAAAGCATTAGTGGAGATGGTTAAACCACCAGCTCACCCAAAGAAACGCAGGGCTCTTGCTGGTTAACGAAGTAAGAGCTTTTGGGATTTGGACCTAAGCTAAGGGATACTCACAAAAAACAAGGCCCAGTTGGGGACATCTAAACCTACAGGAGGCAACCCTTTGTGGTTGGTTTTTCCTCCAAAGGCCGCCTAGTGCAAATGGCAATCTTCCACACTGTGAAAATGGCCACCACAAGACGACCACGGGGATAAAAAAAAGACTGAAGGAAAAGCAACAAAAGTAAAAACGAAAAAAAAAAAAAAACGGTCTCACACAGGCCAGGGGTACATCTTGCCACCGGTTCACGGCACATTTCGGGGGCGCGTACCAGGGCCTGCCCCAACCAGGGAAGGGGCGAGGGCGTAGATTTTTTTTTTGGGGGGGGAGGAGAGAGAGAGAGAGAGCACGGGGCCATTCTCGAGTGAATTCTGCGCTACGTTCAGCATGGAAATATGCCCAGATTCTTCCCGAAATGGCCGTACTAAGCTGACATGTACATGCACATTGTCAATGCAGCAATGTTTCTTGCAGCTTCTCAGTGGGCTGTAACACTAACCGTGTCTTTTCGTAATTTTTGAAGTTCTTGGTCCTAACCGGTAAAACGAAACACGCCTAAGCCACCAGGGACATTTCTGTAAAATACCTAAACCACTGCTAAACCGGCACTACTGGTCCTAAACCTCTTTCAAGCCTAAACAGACTGTTGCTTTGCTACTACCTCAGACTGGTACCGCTGTTACTGGAAAACACAGACCCATAACTATTAGCCGTGACTAGGTAAGCGTAGAATTATAAATTGAGTATGTCCGTATGACCTGGCTTGTCTTCAGTTGGGGAAGTGCTGTTTGGAGTTTGTGTTGATGCCGCCAGGCTGCCGGAGCAGCGCTGTAGCTGGGAGGCTGCTGCGAGGGTTTGCTGGACAGCTGAAGCAAGCTTCAGGCGCTAAGCCTGGTGACACCAGATCTGTGCTCTTGGGGTGGGTGCTGCCATATCTTCCTCATGGCAGTAGTTCTTCTTCTTCTTCTTCAAGCTGGGGGCTCCTTCTTCATCCTAGAGCTGGTGCTGATCATCCAGCAAAGACTCAGCGCTGTCTTTTGGAGGGAGGAGGCAGTGGAGGTGTAGGAAGAGGGCGCTGGCGGTCTGCACAAAGTTGGGCCGAGGCGCTGTGTTTCAGGCTGCGCACCATAGCCAGCTGTGGAGAGGATAATGCCGGAGGGAGGAGGAAGACTCCAGAAGCTTGATGAGGCTATGCTTTTTGAGTTTGTTCAAGGTTGTTTATTTTAGGTTGGGATTCTTGGGTTTTTGTGAGGCTGATAGCACTGAAGAGAGGAGAGGGACTATAAATTGAGATCTTCTCCAATTCAACTTCATGGTTGAGCTTCAGCTGTGCATATCTTAGTTCGTTTTGGGGTGAATTCCCTTTCCAAGTCTGCTTGGTCATCGTGCACGTGTACGGGAACACGTTGATACTCTGTTCGATGGCCTTTCCAATCAGTCACATAACAGTTGCCAAGACCTCGGCTGAGATACGTGAGCCACTGGAATCCCCACCCACACCGAATTGATTGTCCCCATCACCACCCCTTCACGACAGGAACAAATTAACAAACCGCACCTCCTGTCACTGACACCCCCTCCTCGCAGCGAGATTCAGGCTAAAGAGCCAGTGTCATGATTGCCTCCTCGTGCTGATACTGGGTTACACGCTACAACGCATCGCTTTGTCAGAACGTCTGCTCGCTATATTGCTACCAGCGCAAGCATAGCGCTGACAATTCCATCATTCGCTAGTGCTGTCAAGACGCAGCTCATCATATGATCAGCCAGAAAGCAGGATCTTCTTTAGAAAACGAGCTCGGTGAAATGTCAGATACACCGCTAGCTGAATTGCTACCAAGCAAATCAGAGCGCAGTGATCTCTAACTGTCACTCATCATGTACCACTATCAAACCGAGATCACACACACAGTGCAAGAGAATCAGCCAACAATACACTAACCTGCCGACCTGCTGTCGTGAGCAGACGGGAACAGACCTCAAAAGAATAAGTGGCCGCACGGTAGCAACAAGTGGCCGCACCCCATTTGCACCCACCCCCTTCCCCCCCCCTTGTCACACTCCAAGAAAAAACTCCAACAAAATGCAACACCCCAATCAATGGGCACCCCTTACCATTTTGAGAGTCCTGCATCAGCTCACTAAAACTTTTGTCACAATCCGACTGGGGCCTCTCCAGGCCTTTTCCACAGTGGACTTCTCCTCACCCCCCTTCGCTACATTCACATGGCAATGTTTCCTGAGACCTGCACAACCCGGACTGGGCCTCTTCGAGCTTCTCCGTCAACCACAAACTTCCCGAGCCCGGCAGCAGCCCGCCTGGGACTCTCGCTCAGTGGGCCTCTCCGGTCTCGTATTGGCTAGGTAAACACAGTAACACTACTCAGTCCTGTGGCAGTTCCTTAGAACTTTAACAGCAGTTCACAGTTCACTAGATCCATCCTTCGTTGTTTTTTCTTTTTCGTTTTCACGTTTTTTCATGGGCCCAAAACCTACCGCCTGGGAGGCACAGCTACTGGCAAAATGCTCGGTCTTTGTGTTAGCCATCCCCCCCCCCACAGGCAGCCCCACCCTACTCCCTGACCACCACCGATTAGGGCCAGGGGTCAACATGCATCCCCTTAATTGTGAGAGGTAGCTATCCTTGCAGAGGACCCCTGCAAGGATAGCTTAGGAGTAGTGGCAGGTAGGTAGTGAAATATGAAATTGAGAGAAGAATATAGCTTAGTTTAGAAAGAGGGAGGGGAAAAAAAGAAAACTCCTGCCGCCAAGGCTCCAGACTCGGCCAGTACCATAGACCCACGGCCAAGGAGAGCTGTAGCATTGTGCTGAAATGGCCACAAACTTTTAACATCATGATTCATGCACCAAAATTAATGAGAACTGCTTAGTTTCCTTCCAAACCTTTTGCGAACTGTGTACCCAAGCTTCTCTTGTTATTTTTCTTATTTCCTTTTCCCCCTCCTTGAGATCTAGTGGCAAGGAGAGCACCTAGGAACAGTCCACGTGGGTTCTTGCAGAGTGGCACAGATCTGGACACTCACTCACCTGCCCCAAGGCGGTCGAGTCCACTCTAGAGGACCAGCCAACTGGCTGTCCCAGGCGCTCCTCCTCACCGTTTACAGTGCATGTTGACTTCATCGTGCCGATATTGATACCGACGAGGCGAGTTCTGTCCTCATAGCATTCTAGTGGGCCCCACTCTCGGTCCCAGGGAAGAACACCACCCCCATCAACAAAACCAACATCTACCAGACGAGCTGCAGCGCGAAAGGTTGGCAGAGCACCCAAAATCTGGCATACACAGGTTACTGCCTCACCCTCACCTCCAGGACCTTCCTCGTCCATGAAACCTGCTCCACTGTCGCTCTCTTCCCTCTTGCTGGATCCCGCAGAGCTCGTTATACTTGCAACCTCCAACTGGTTCCCCAAATCTTCATTCCCCTCCTCTTCCATGGCATTACTTGTCAATCCCCATGTCTTCTCATTCACATCCACTAGATCAGAACCCAGACTCCTTGTACCAGGTTTGGATGACGCATCATAGTCTGGATAGCGTAAAGGTTCAAGCCCATGAACAGCAGCATCACATGGCATAACCTTGCTATCAAGCCAGGGATGGTCATCTTTTGTGTGCATCACTGTTCCCTCGAGCTCTCTTTCCTCAGTCTGTTCCATCTCTCTCACATCCTTGTTGCTCTCTGCCATCGCACAACACTTGCCACCATAGCTCTTTTTCTTTTCCACTTGCACCAGAGGATCTGACAGGGGAGTTACCTCATCTCTAGTCGACAAGGCAGGTTCAGGAGTGTCACACTCCCCTTCTCCCATATCTTTTGCATCACCTAAAAGAATATTGTCAGTCTTGTCATCAATACTATCCACACGTCTTTCATGATCCTCTCCCCGTAAATGCAGCCCTTCACCCAAGCTCCCATCCCTACTTTCGTCTCCGTCTACATCCCTGAGGACCACAGCACTCTTTTGCTTAAGAAACAATGATGGGTGCATCAACCCGTCTGCTATTCCTCGTGGAGCGCACCTAGGTGGGGAAACAACGTAAAGCATCATTCGAGACTTGTCTGGCACAGGCAGCCACTTACTAAACTGGGCTAATATAACCGTTGCCAGCTGCCCCACCGTTGATTTTTTCTCCAAAACAAGCACTCGCCTGCACAAATGTACACGCACGTCCATGAAAAACACATGCACACCCATGTTACCACTCCCATCATCTGCAGAGAAGCGCAGGTTGTCAGTCATTTAGAACGGCCATTCCGTACCAGACAACACAACCAGGCGGTCAAGTGTTCATTCATGATTGCTTTGTGGAACCATATGGGACTTGTCGCCATAACCAAGAAAGATGAGCATATGGCCTGCACTGCAAGCACAGAGTTAAAAAAACATCCCCATAACCAGGAAAGGTGAGCACACCTCACTGTCAGTTACCACGCATCCATGAAGTTGAAATTACAACCACCTGCCAGACAAGCACATAGAATATGGCCATTCATTTCTATTTCTCTGGTGAAGGGAAGAGGACGGGGCTCTGGAACGGAGCCATATATGCTATTCCAATATACACATGACCCTCGCCTTTATTAGCAGATTATGTCGTCCCATGCCATGATAGTTATCCGAAGAGCTGACCAGACTCAATTCACTTGAATGAGGCTCTGCCTACAGTGGCTAGCTTTTACAACAAGGCCTTTTTCTAGTACCTATACTTCTAATAGACTCTGGTTAGGATTGAGTCCAGCATACCCAGTAGGCTTCCTCGACCCTGAAGCGATCCCTATGCCATCCTCTAGGGGGACTAAGGCATTCATGTAGAGAGAAGACCCAGACCACAGGAAGCGACTGATCCGATACCCAAGAGCCCAGCTCATGTGATGAAAACAGGCCAGCAAGTACTGTTGCCAGGAATAAAGTCGCTAGCTTTTACAACAAGGCCTTCTTCTAGTACCTATACATCCGATCCACTCTCATTAGGATTGTGGACAGCAAACCCAGTAGTCTTACCCAACCCTGAAGCAATGCATATGCCATCCTCTACCGGGACTAAGGCATTCATGTAGAGAGAAGACCCACACCACAGGAAGCGACTAACCAAAACCCAAGAACCCAGCTCATGTGATGAAAACAGGCCAATGTGTACCGTTGCCAGTCTACCTTTCAAGCGGGCGACTTAGTATAAGATGTTTTCACTGGAGAGACAGCTCAACAAATAAGATCTACATTAAATGGAACAAGTAAAGCCAGTGCGACTACGCCCGCACACATCGAAATACCAATGAATTCTCACTGTCCATAACTCTCTCTCTCTCTCTCTCTCTCTCTCTCTCTCTCTCTCTCTCTCTCTCTCAAAGAAGAAGAAGAAGGAGCAAGGAGTAACCAGAGCTGGAGGGCGAGACTAAGAAGAAGGATGTGTCATCCTCCTAGCTTTCTCACCTGCAGGTAACTGCCGCCATGTACAAACTGCTGCCAGCATCTCTCTCTCTGTGCAGGTCGCTGGCGTGGAGTTCAGCTATGGCGCCCAGGTAAGTACCGCCTCCGCGGGTATGACCTCCGCCTCACCTCCTACCTACGCCTCTACAACATAGCGCAGCGCTGTGTCGCGCTGCTCCAGCAGCTTGTCGCCCAAGAAGTGAGCTACTCGAACCGTATGACTGCCCTGGTCTGGCCCAGTTATATGTAGGGCTGGGCCTCTCTGGTGTGCCTCTGGTCCTTGCCCTGAAACGGCCTGCCTGGGTCCCTACCAGACGTCCAGGCCCTTCCTGCTGATGCAGCAGGGAATGTCCGCTACCTGACAAAAACGAACCTGGCCCAAAAGGGCCTGGTCACGAATGGAGAAGACCCAAAATGTGGCCTTGGTCCGAACAGACCATATGCCTGTTTGGACGCACTGCAAGTCCTAAACGACGCCTGGAACAGACCAAAATAGGACAGCAAATAAATAAATAAATAAATAAATGAATGCTGCCTAAAATTGAATCCTGCGGCCCTAAGGCCGGTCGTGGGCCTCCAGGGTGCATGTCCGAAGGGTGTGAGGCGTGAGGGCCCCAGCAACCGTCAGGCTCCCAAATTGGGGCCCGTGTGCAGGCTCAGCATGTAACCCTCCCCCCCCTCCTTATGAAGTCAAGCCAGGTCGAGGGCGAAGCTGACGATCCAATGGTGGAACCTGGATGCAAGTACGATGTGTTACCTTGTTGTTTCCGTTCGTAACGTGCGAGGACATCAGGGGCTGTGGCCTGAAGTTCCGCACCGGCCAACCAACGGTCAGCCTTATGGCTACAATGGAAAAAGTGTACTCAGTACTCTGTCGGCTTGGTGTCGTAGCCCTGCTGCGAAATGATGTCGATAACCTCCAAAAAAACGTTCGTGGAGGGTGGGTCTTGCGATCGTAGCCCGGGAAAGTTGTTGCGTTCCGCCGAGACAAAAAGAGCCAACTTCGAACAATGAAAGACTGGGTGTACGGGCAAGTGGGCGGGCACCTGAATGACAATTAAAGGTCCTTCAGGTGCTTCACCAGCGGGTGCTACAACACGCCAAGGCCCCATCCATTTCGGAATAAGCTTGCAAGAGAGATCTTGTTCGAGGCTGAGTTCCGCGACGGAGACCCAAACAAGGTCCCCTGCGCAGAACGGACAAGGAAGATGCTGGCGATTGGCCTGACGACTCATGTGTTGCTGAGTCCTCGACATCTGGTTGAATGCCTTGACAAGGAGCTCTTGCACCCGTCAAATGAAGACAAGGTGGTCGTCACTCTCGGTGGTCCGTGGGATGATGGTGTCCAAAGGCGATGTGACTGGCGAGCCACACTCCAACTCAAAGGGCGACACCCCAATAGCCGGATGAATGAATGAGTTGTAAGCCAACTGGACGTCCGACAGCCGCTCAACCCAATCCTGTTGGTCGGGACGAATAAGAGTGCGAAGAAGAACCTATGCAGTTTGATACGCCCTCTCCGTCTGGCCTTCAGTTTGTGGGTGGCGAGCCAACCTCGGCTTGAGAGATGAGCCCTATCGTTTGATGAGAGCCAACAAAAAGTTGGACATGAACCGAGTGTCGCAATCGCAGCTCCTCGGGGTAACCCTTGGTACATAAAGAACATCGGCCAACTCTGGTGACTTGGCATGATAACGACAAGGCAAAAACATGGCGAACTTGGTGAGTCGATCGAGAACCGCGAGAATCCCATCCATACCGGTCCAATGCTTGGGAAACCATCCGGTGATGTCCATGGCAATCGATTCCCGTAGTCCTAAAGGGACCATTAATGGTCGCAACTGCTGAACAGACGATAATGACGGGATTTGCAATGCCGGCAAACCTGGCATGACTCGCAATAGCGTGTGACATCACCGAGAAGGTTGGGTCACCAAAAGCGCTCGCGAAGTCGGCCAATCGTACGATTGACTCCAAAATGTTTGATGGCGGGAGCGCCAAAACTTGTCAAGAAGCCACGTACGCAAGTATGAATCACTTGGCATGCAAAGAAGATCCTTCCCCTGCGAGTGAACTAGCAAATAGCCCTCTTGAATTCAATAATGCGATGGCACCGGATTTGGAGAGGAGCAATTCGTACACTTGTTGCGAAGCTCGGGGTCGACTTGGTAGTTACGATGAAGCTGTCCTGCAAGTTGTTGTCAACCTCGAACGTCGGGTAGACCGCGGTACAAAGGTTTGGGCGCCTTGAAAGAGCGTGCACAAAACGGTTAAGACTTTCCCAAAATTTGATCGGGGAAAAAATCAAACTGGTCAATGAAGGCCATCCAACGGCCGATGGTACTATTAACTGTGTCTTGGGTCTTGTAAAAGACCAACGGATTGTTATCCGTTACCCATCGGAATGGACTTCGACCAAGGAGAAAATGCCGCCACCACTTGAGCGCGTGTATGAAGGCCAGTAACTCCTTCAGTGCGTCGTCAATTGAATGCACGGCGCCTTCTTACCAAAGTAGTCGACCTGTGTAGCTTGAGGACAACACCAATGTTATAGCCAGACGCATCAGTAGCGACGCGAGTTGGCAAAAACATGTCATAGATGTGTAAAACCTCCCCGGATAGCAAAGCGGCTTTCAAGGCCAAAAAGGAAGCCCGAGCATCGTCGTCGAAGTCGAATGGTCAAATTAGTTGTCATCTTCAAATAGCCTTTGATAAAGCGCTCATAGTAGCCAGCTAGGCCAAGAAACGAACGGACATACCTAATGTTCTTCGGTTCCCGCCACTCTTGAACGTCTTGAATCTTATCCGACTAATACCCTCCGGTGTGACGAAATGGCCCAAATACTCCAACTCTTGACGTACGAACTCGCACTTGTCGTGGTTGGCTTTGTACTTGGCGCGACAGAGTGGATCCAACACGCGTCGAAGATGCTCAAGACGGTCCTCCAAGGTCCAGCTATAGACGAGAATGTCATCCAAGTGGACTACCATAAACCGGTCCAGCATCACACGGAACTCGTTGTTCATCGCCGCTTGAAAGGTCGTCGGGGCATTGGTGAGGCCGAAGGGCATGACAACCCACTCAAAATGCCCGTACCGCGTCTTAAATGCGGTTTTGTAGTGATCTTGCCGGCGTATCGAAATTTTATGATAGCCCAACTTCACGTCCAATGTCAAAAAATATTGTGTTGCCCAAACGCTCAAGAAGATCGTCAATACAAGGAAGAGGCCCCGCATTTTTGACGATTTGCGCGTCCAGTTTGCGATAGTCAATGCACAAGCGAAGATCCTTGTTCTTTTCCCGCATGAAGAGAACTGGTGCGCCAAATGGTGAGCTATTAGGGCGATCCAACCCTTGTCCAACCAGTCATCGAGTTGCCCGCAGAGAACCACGGGCTCTTCCTCGCTCATGCGATAGATGCAACCTTTCGGCGGCACGGCACCGGCGTCAAGAAATATCTCATAGAAGATCGGCCGATCCGGCACCACACTGATAGGAGACATGGAGATGTCGGCGAACTCGTCAAGCAACCACACCACACGAGGGTCCGAAGACAAGGTACTTGAAAATTCGATCGCCGTGACGGTCCAAGAAAACAAAGGCCTATCTCGGCGGTCCGGTCATAAGCACAAGCAGACAGAAACGACTTGGCGATCACAACTTGGCACCGGATCAAAGGGTGCGGAAGAGGAATAGTGCACGGGACTTTGGCACCAAAA